ATAGATGTCAACCATTACCCTAAATTGTTTTAACTGGATGAATGAAAACATTTTTTTCAGTGTGGAATATATTTTAAAATGTTATTTATTCCTGAGATTGCAAAGCTGAATTCTTACTGACCTCAAACTTTTGAACAGTAATGCGCACTCACACTTACTCAACAAAAACACTGAATCTCGTCCAACTTGACTTTCACCACTTATCTACTCCAGGTCTCATTAAAATTACAGCAAAGATATTCAAGAACAACAAGCGTTTAAAAGAAGAGGAAAACACAGGCAGTGATGGACGCCTCTACAGAAGAATGTGGCCCGTGTTTTGATTCCTTCCACATCCTGAGCACAAATCACACACACAAATAACTCCCATGATGATCGACAGACAACCAAATTAGATTAACATGCCAATCATTCCCCTTATAATTTTTCCCCTTAACTAACAAAACAAAAGACAAGATGTTCAGGAAAGTGGTTAATGCTATATATATATATATTGTAACTATTAGCTACGTTTCTGGGAAACCATATTGACTAGATGAAGTGGAAAAACAAAGACAGACAAACATCCTGTCAATATGATCATTGCAATGATTATGATTATGATCTTTTGTGACAGAGTAAATGACTTTAAGGTGCTGTAAATCTGCTTCGCTAACTTCAGAGAATGACTCAGCTGAAGCTACCATCTTTGTGTCAATACACACCACTAGGGAGGTGAATTTGAGTTACGACACTGAGATTTCCTGTGTGTTTTAGCAGCACTGTGTCAACAGCCATTGACATAAATGCTGCATATCTTGTGCTTTGCTTTGCTTTGTCTGCACTGCTGGTGGGTTAAAGGGGAGGAGGAGATGATCTGAAAGGGATCAGACGGAACGAGCAGGTGTAAAAACAGTCTCAAAGGTGAATGACTGATGAAACCGCTATCAAATGAACACAAAATATCCAGGGGTAACACTTATATTGTTTCAGTAGAAACTAACACTCCATATTAGGGATGCACCGAATGCTCGGTAACCAAAATTAATCGGCCGAATAAACTGTACCGAACAATGACGTGACGCGATCAAATAGCAACCAGCATAGAGTGAGAGGCGCAATGCAACAAACATGTCAGCAGTGTGGAAGCATTTAAAACTGTCGGAGAAAGACGCAAAAATCATTACAAGCACCGACAGCGAGAGACTGTTTAGGACTGCATCGCATGTCTTCGATGAGAAGAGGAAGGGGTGATTGTTGCTGGTTACTGTATGATAATTGAAAATCTGCACTGTAAAAGTGTACTCAGTTGCTCAGTCACATTTTTATGATTTTTTTTTGACAAGGCACGTGCGATACGTGCGACTTTTTCGTAACGAGACTCATTGATAAATCTGCTGTTGTCTTCCTGCGCGTTTCCGTCAAAACAAAAGTTGAGAAAAAGCAATAACTCCATAAACAATCATAAATGTTAGTATTGTAATTTTACTGTTGTCCTGTCAAATAAAATAAAAAATAAGACAATAATAATGATAATAATTTCAACAGCTCTGTTAATACATTTATTATAACATTCACGCATAGTGTTCAAATTGGGATCTGTAATATTTTCTAATGTTTTCAAAGAAGGCTCTTCTGCTCAGCAAGGCTGCTTTTAATTGTACAATTAAAAATACATGCCTGATTCAAGAAGGGGGTCTGATGGCCAAAACAATTTTATTTTACTAACTTATTAATTTATATAGATAGATAATATAGAAAACAGTTATGCACGCATAGTGTTCAAATTGGGATCTGTAATATTTTCTAATGTTTTCAAAGAAGGCTCTTCTGCTCAGCAAGGCTGCTTTTAATTGTACAATTAAAAATACATGCCTGATTCAAGAAGGGGGTCTGATGGCCAAAACAATTTTATTTTACTAACTTATTAATTTATATAGATAGATAATATAGAAAACAGTTATGTTAAATGAAAAATAAACTTTTTTTTACCATATCTTTGATCAAACAAATGCAGCTGGAGTGAGCATAAGAGACATTAAAAAACATTAAAAAAAGAAAAGAGAGAGAAAAAACACTACACTTTGTTTCTAATACATCTTCCTGGTCTTAATGTGCATGATATTCTTAAGTGCATGTTATTTTTATTACTTTTTTTAATTGTTTGTCTTCATAGTCTTTAATCAAACTGTAATGAATCGCTCCAATAAAATTCCTGATTATTATTATTTTTTTATGCGTCATATTTTTAGATCCCCTTTTTGGAAGTAAAATGGGTTGTGCACCGCATTTCATGCTGAGCACTTAAACCGTTCAATAAAATTCATCATATGCTTAGCATATTATATTATGCATCAATATTATGATCCTCCAAAGCTATTGTGAGAAATGCATTCAAATTCCACTCCTCGGTTTACAATATGAGCTAAAACCCCTGCATTGATTAGCTTAATGTGTTTACATATTTAACTATCTGAATGCTGAGGTTAAGTATCATGTCAGCAGTTAGCGGTTGCAGCGATATTACTCTGCCCAATTTATGCCAATCAACCCGAGTGCTTGTATATCCAGTGTAAGCTGTTGCTAGAGGCCCATCCACTGAGCAATTGTGCAATTCCCACTCTTGATAAAAACACACAATGATGATATTTACATAATGGCTTTGCTTGCACCTGCTTCCAGCAGTGCTTTGCTTCCTCGTTAAAGACACACACACACACAAACAAATACACACGCTGGAATTTAAACAGCTTTACAGTGACTCACATACAGGAAAACTGCATTCACATGCATAAATACAGAATGCCTGCTGGGATGTACAAAAAGACATGCATATATGCACACGCCCGTACAGTTACCACTGGCTGAGTTACAGAATTCAAAAGACATGAGTATTCATGCAGCTACAGAATGAGAGAAAACAGTGAGAAAAGAAAAGGGAAAGAGAAAGAAAATGGGAACACAAAGGCTGTGTGTGTCTAAAAGTAATAAATTACGGTGCAATTTGCTACTAAGAGGACGGAGCTAATTGATGGAGCCAAAGAAAGAGGAAGTCAGTGAGAGATAGTAATGAGAGAGACGGGGTAAAAGAGATCAGCTGTTGGACAATTAGACCCCTGCCATTCAATTTAACACCAAACCCCTAATCTACCTCTCACATCTGAAAAGACCAGCATAGTCATGCTGTTTACCAGCAAAACTTTCTTTGTGAAGCTGGTCGAAGCATTAAATGAATGACTCTTATGAGTCAGTTCTTTTTAGTGAATCAAAAACAAGCAATGCAACCACTGAAGCCCAATTCCTGAATGAATGACTCTCATGAGTTGGTTATTGTGAATCAAAACTCACTGATTCAGAGTGGTTACCGAATTATTCTGACTGACTTATTGAACTTATTGAAGTCATTACTTTTTGATGTAATTAAAGATACACATTATGTTATTGTAATCAGTGTTTTTTTATTTTTATAAAAGATAAACAAAAAAATGTTTTAAATGTGTTACAATATTTTTGTTTGTTTAGAATTATTATTTAACATATGGTTATGGGATGCCACATCTAAAAAGCATGAGATGCCATTACTGTGTAAACGCTCCTTTCAAAAGTCTGGGGTCAGTTATTTATTTATTTGGGAAAGAAATTAATATTAATACAATTTATTCTTAAACTGATAAAAAAGCTACAGTGAAGACATTTATAATGTTACAAAAGATTTCTAATTTGGGAATGAATTAATTAATCTATCACGGGTTCCACAAAAATATAAAGACACAACATTGATAATAATAAGAAATGTTTCTCGAGCACAAAATCAGCATAATAGAATGTTTTCTGAAATTCATCTTTGCTATTTAAAAAATATATATATATATTAAAAGAGAAAACAGATATTTTAAATTTTGCCATATTACTGTTATTACTGTATTTTTGATCAAATAAATGTAGCTTCAGCAAATGTTTTCGGAAAGACCAACCTCAAACTTGTGATCTTTCGTTTATATTTGTTCTTTTAAAATATAAAAATGAATATATCGTGCTTATTTTTCCAAATATTTCTTTCTAAAAAATACTAAAAGAATCCATATTTGAACCGTTAAGGAACATGAATCGTTAATTGGAATCAGAACCAGAATCTTTCAATTCCTTGGGATTCCCATCCTTATCAACTGCAACACCTTAATCTTTCTAGTGAAGCTAGTTGGCCAAAGAACGCAGCACACCAGTCTCCAAACCCAACACGCACTGGTTTCAGCTGGGTTTCATCACTGTCAAAACAAGAGCAATTCCTCAACAGACCACCGTTACAAATCGAAATCTCTAATAACAACAAAACGCACGTATAGACCTCAAGCCCTTTGAAAATGATTCCTTTGTTGTGTCCAATCAGGCTCGACAGCCGCCTTTGTAATCGAGACAAGTCAAAACCAACTCCTGCCCCTGGTTCATGTGTGATACGACTGTCAGCGATACTCAGACTTCTAGGGTTTGTTTTGCTTAGCTTTGACTTGGCTAAAATAGCTCTTTATGTCTGTAATCTGGCTTGTGCTTCCTCCAAACCTATACATTTACTGATGGTTTTGAGAGGTTTTTTTTAAGTATCTGCCAAACTACCCCCCCCCCCCCTTAAACCAGATGTTTATAAAAAGACACCACAAGAGAAGCAAAAATAACAGTATTAAAGTGCATGTCTATAAGCCTGCGGGCAACATCAGTGAGAATCTAATGTATTACACTCTCAGCTGTCACTGGGGTCGGTATCCTAAGGTAGAAATACTAAAAGGTACATCTTATAGTACCTTATTTACCCCTAAATGATACCTATCAATACCTTAAAAGTACATACAAGAACTTTAAAAGTACATAGTACCTAAAGTGGACATATTAAATACATTTTGTACCTTTTTTTCTGAGCGTAATGTTGCCCTGGACAGATCTAACATTGTCATTTAAAGCACAAAAGTGGATTAAAGTCATTATAAAATTACACCGGCAGTAAAAAAACAACAACCAGAAGTTCTTACCATTTGAGAACGACTCTTAGGGCATCCATTAATGTCCTCAATCTTCTCATTTGCTGTGAAATCCAAAAAGAGAGAGAAATTCAGACAAATTAATTGCTAAAAAAGAAAATAAGTCTGATTTTTGACCCCAAATGTGGAAACTTTATCCAGTTTGAGCAACTGTGTGGCACGGCCTGCTGGGATGTGACTGCTTTGGGGCTTTCCTGAGGGTGACTGCTCTCTACCCTGCATCCCGGCGAGCCCAGCCCCATCCCCCTCCCCACGGCAGCTGAAACAGGGCCGTTCACTCACAGCTGACAACTGCACACACGGCTACAATGACAGCAACATGCCTGCAGGAATCACTTTACCGCCTGCGCTGTGGGAAAAATGTGTCAGGAATGTGTAAGATGTCAGGTGAGTAAGCATGGAGGACAGACACATCTGAGACGGGCTGTCTCAACGGAGGGGCTCTCGGACTACCGGAGAACCATTTGGGTGGCCATGTCTTCTAAATCATTTGTGATTTAATTACTATTTTATAATGTTATTTAATATGGAAGCCAATTTCCACCATGGAATAAAAAAAAATAAAAAAGGTAACTGCAACTTTTTATCTCACAATTCTGACTTTTTTCTTGCAATTCAGAAAGTCACAAGAAAGGGGGAAAAAGAAGACGAAAAAAAAAGAACAATAAACAAAGTCAGAATCGTGAGGGAAAAAAATGGCACAATTGACTTTTTATTTTTATTCTGTGGAGAAAAAAAAGATGCAAACTTCAATGGAAAAAAAAGTAAAAATTGTGATGATTTAACTTGCAATTGTGAGGCATGAACTCACTATTGTAAGATAAAAAGTCATAATTACAATTACTATTTTATAATGTTATTTAATATGGAAGCCAATTTCCACCATGGAATAAAAAAAAATAAAAAAGGTAACTGCAACTTTTTATCTCACAATTCTGACTTTTTTCTTGCAATTCAGAAAGTCACAAGAAAGGGGGAAAAAGAAGACGAAAAAAAAAGAATAATAAACATAAAGTCAGAATCGTGAGGGAAAAAAATGGCACAATTGACTTTTTATTTTTATTCTGTGGAGAAAAAAAAGATGCAAACTTCAATGGAAAAAAAAGTAAAAATTGTGATGATTTAACTTGCAATTGTGAGGCATGAACTCACTATTATAAGATAAAAAGTCATAATTACATTTTTTTTTTTATTCTATGGCAGAAACAAGCTTCCAAAATTGAATTATTGTTTATACAAAATACTTAAGCCACAAATAAGAATGCATTAATTGCACTGCATTAGATATCAAAAATATCAACGTGACATCTGCAAACAAATTCAAACATTTTAGATATTATTATAATTTTAGACTACAATTTACCACATCATTTGTTACTTACTCATTATTTTATCAGTACAAAGGTCACTTTTTGGGGATCCTGTAAGTTGGTGTAAGCTCTAAATGTCCTTATTGTCACCATTTCAAGCATTTTCTTATTTCAAAATGTACTTTCAAAACTTTAGGGCAAAAGCTATTATCTCTCATTAATATAAATAAATAAAAATGTCAAGTATGGCATTGGTTGCATGCAGCATTTGTGTCTGTCAGACAGGGCAGGTCGGATTTCAGCTTCAATTGACCAGTGTTTGATTCCCTTGAGATGTAGAAAACACAAGAGGACAAAGTGGGATGACCACAATGATGAGTCATTTAACACCACTTCACCCCAGAACACTGTACTTTCAGCTCTTAAGTAACCAAATGCTCTCCGGCTCTTACAACACTTTTAAGAGGACAGAGGTAATGACAAACTCTAGTTTTGTATGTCCATGGGAAGAGCTGCTGACTGGGATCGATTTTCTTACTAGGCACTCGAAAGTACGTAAATACTGTTAAAACATTAAAAGCTCCTATTGCAATTGGGTGCAGCTACAAAGAGGTCACATACCCTTGAGATAATTAATAGTCTGCCATAACAGAATGATCACTGTTAAAATATTAGTATCTAATAATATTAGAGTACAAAATAGCATTGCTAATTCAGACTGTTTTGAAACATAAAAAGTTACAATGAATGAATGAATGAATAAATAAATGAAACAAAATATCATCATTTACAATAGTAAAAGTAGTTGAAATGTTTTTCTAATATAATTAATTAAATTTGAGTCTAATAAATGCAGGTTTTTAATTCAAGAGAACTGTATAAATATAAATAGATTATGTAATATTAACGCAATATTATTGATGTTTGTAGCCATGGCTCCTGATGATCCTGTTCAACTTGATTAACTTGCAAATTGCATTTAGGACATAAATGACTGAATGTCACAAAACTTCTTACAACTTAACCAAGATAAAACTGAAGTTTTGATTACTGGATCAAAAGCACAGAGAAAGAAATTGACCCCTAAACTAAATATACAAGGATTAAACCCAAGCCAAGCTAAAATGACTTTAAAGCTCATGTACGTAATATTACAAAAACTGCATTCTATCATCTAAAGAACATTGCTAAAGTAAGACCATTTCTCTCTCTGAGCAATACAGAAAAATGAACGCATGCATTTATAACTAGCAGGCTTTTGGGTCTACCAATGAACAAAATTAATCAACTACAATCAATCCAAAATACTGCTGCTAGAATATTGACAAAAGCCAAAAAGAGAGGTCGCATTGCGCCTGTATTAAAGTCATTACACTGCTTACCTGTCAGTTTTTGTATTGATTTGAAAAATCGTTTATTAGTTTATAAGGCATTGCACGGATTTACTCCAGACCATCTTTCAAAAATGCTTACAGTATATGAATCCAGAAGGGCTCTCAGATCTTCAGATTCTTTTCTTCTAACTGTAGCTACCTCACAGTAGTAGAACTAAAACATTTGGTGATGCTGCTTTTAGCCGCCAGAACAACCTTCCAGAAGACATAAGATGTGCTGAAAGTATTAATAGTTTTAAATCGAAATTAAAAACGTATATTTTTTTAGTCTGGCCTTCCTGTAATGTCCTATGAAGTCTTTGTATATTTTATGTTTTCTTTTTCCTTCCTTTTTAATATTTTTGTTTTATATTTCATATTTTAATCATACAAACTTTCATTTTTGTTCTTGTATTTTAAAGGGTTTATTTCTATTTTGTATTTGGTTTATTCTATTGTTTTTGCATTTGGTTCCTTCTTGCTTGTAACGCACTTTGAACTGCATTAACTTGCTTGGAAAAGAATAAAAATGTGCTCTGTTGATTTGCTTGATTATATTATCTATGATTTTATTATCTCAATTTAGTTGAATAAATTCAAGAATTGAGCACACAACGATGACCTAAATGAATAAATAAGCAGCTTTACCATTTGTCAGCAAGAAGCTTTTAATCTTTTAAAATACAATAAAACGTAGTACAATCACTTTTTTCTTTTACATTTTTTAATAACATAAATATCTGTTTTGCTGAAGGACGATGGAAAATTTGCACTCATATTTTGACATTTCATTTTCACTAAAGTTATTTGAAACATCAGAGCAGACCCTTGCATTTAATATTTTCAATGCATATATCTAAATCGTTTTTGTAAATGTAATTTGATGTGAACACCTTGCACAGAAAATCTTTGATAGACTCTTTTTGTCTGTTTGTGTCAGTGAATCGCTCACCGATGACCTGGATGATCTCAGCCAGCAGCACGCCGTCGCTCACGTCCTGCTGCAGGTCTTTAATCAGCCGCTTGTGTCCCGATTTGGCCAAGTAGTGATTCGCCCAGTCCGTGTAGATCTGTCAGCACGAGAAAAGAAAGCTAGTTTATAAATCCTTCCATAAAAACGTTTCAAACAACTAGACTTGACGACGTTCACGTCTCCCCGGCGGCTCCGCACTCTATTCAAGTCCACTCCATTGTGCCTTATTCAAGTTATTCAGCACCAATAATGCTCAAATTCTCCCGTCTGACATCACAGAAAAGCCCCTTCACTGGGGCAGGAGGAGGGAGACCCCGAGGGAGCCTAAATTAAACCTCTGAATGGGTCTGAAAGGAGTCATGTGTTGTTTGCTGTTTGGAGCGGGTCTGTCCAAAAACATTCCCGCGTCCCGTCACAAGTAAAGAAAAAGCGAGAAACAAGTCAAGCAGTGCAACAAGCATTAAAAACCACTGGGATGCCAAAACCGTCACGTTATTTTGGAAAACAAAGCTTACATAAAACATATCTTTAACTTCCTTCCAGCATTTAAGTACCTTTATTAACAAAAATAAATAAATAAAAAATAATAATAAATGGCTATTTTATACACATAGCTATTATTATTATTTTAGTTACATATACCATGATATTCTTTGAACTTACATGTAAAAGCCATGGCATTTTCCCATTTGACTTTAATATCGCAATTTGAAATAAAATAATAGCCTATATAACATTGCATAAAGACCATAATAAAAGGGTTATTTTTTTATTTTATTTTTTTATTGGATGTGGTGCAGGATTTACACACACAAGGTCAGGCAGCAGTCAAACACATTCCCACATGGGTGTTGAACAGCTTGTGTTGTGTGTTTCATGAGTAAATAAAGCCTAAGTGTATTATTGCAGTGTTACTCATGTGAGGAATCCGTTTTCTAGATGGGAAAAACAGGTGCACCCTGAGTCCCTGTACCATCAAAATAAACACGCGCTCTCCCTCGATCGCCAGACTTAAAACAGCACACAAAGCCCATATAATTATGCAGAGCAATGACCAAAGTCAGTGGAGAAATGCACAAATCCAACTCGTGCTTTGAAGGTTTATGGGCTAAATGAGTCAGATGCAATTAAAGATGAGGTGAAGACAGTGAAATGAAGGTAAGGGTAAACATGCCTTCACGCAACAAAAGATAAAAGTAACGCTGCAATTACAGATGACACTTGTCTGTCAGACTGAACCTGCTCACCACCATGTAAACATTAAAATAGCAATGCACGTCAAAAGAAATGTTGGTCATTATACAAATTTAGTACCAGTATTACCTTTAGCTCATCAGTATTCCTTTAAGTCAATATGATCATATCAACATTTGTAACAATGCTTTGAAGGTGCAGTAAGAATGTTTGTCTGTTTGTTTATTTATTTATTTTAGACTGGCTGATATGATTTTGGCATGAATATAGAATTATGGTAAAACAGTAGTTAAAGTACACTAAAAAGTATTTGTTCAACTCAAAGTACAGTAATTATTAAACAGCTTTTCTTGGCTACTGATATGACTTTGTTGTGATTTAACTGATATATTTGTCGAAAGTACTATGCCTTTCTTTTCGTAAAGTTAATGAACTGAATACTTTCATTCAGCAAGGATGCATTCAATTGATTTAATGCATTTTAAGACATTTATAATATTACAAAAGATTTCTATTTAAAATAATTACTGTTATTTTTAAGTTTCTATCCATTAAACACTCAAAAAAAAAAAACCTGTTTCCACAAAAATATTAAGCAGCACAACTGATCTCAACATTGAAAACAGTAAAATAAATTATTAACTAGCTAATAGCAAATCAGCATATTAAAATGATTTCTGAAGGATCATGTGACACTGAAGACTGGAGGAATGATGATGAAAATTCAACTGTCATCACAGGAATAAATTACATTTGAAAATATATTACAATAGAAAACAGTTATTTGAAATGGTAATCATTTTTCACAATATTACTGTTTTTACTGTATTTTTAATCAAATAAATGCAGCCTTGGTGAGCAGAAGAGACTCCATTTAAAAACATTTTTAAAAATCTTCAGACCCCAACCTTTGAACAGTAGTATATTTGTCAAAGATACTATATTTTTCTATATAATATATTTCTCTAAAACTGACTTTATAAAGTTAATGTAGTACCATCTGTATGAAAGCAGCATTCATATAGCACATCCTCCACTTTATAGCAAAAAAACACTTGATTACTCACAAACATCCATATACATGCCATCTGAATCAGCACTTACGATGACAGTTATGCTGTGAAATACACTGACCTTTATATTCTGAGTCACTGAGGCATGATGCTTCAGTCCCACTGCTGTAAGAATATTGTGACAACCCCTCATCTCACACAAAAGCAGCACTTAGAAATTCGCCCCCGTACAAATCCTGCTTTGTTGTGTGGTCGTCAAACTAGCATCTATTTCTGCACTCTTCTGAGCTCGTGGCTTTGTACAGTCCACTCTTGACCCGAGCGTGAGTTGTTCTCTCTGAGTTCAGACATGCCTTTAGGGCTGATTTGTCACTGAACAACTCTAGAGAACTGAGCAGGTGGCTCTTGCATGCATTTGCTGATGAGTGTGTTTAACCACCTGTATGAGTACGATGGGAAATATCAAACAGGATTTCCTGAGTGTGGTGCGTTTCAACAATTTACCAACAGCTGTCACTTGGACTCATCTTTAAGCTCAAAGCGGGGAGGTACAACACTGTTCAACTACAAAGGCTCTCATGTCAAACTCTAATAACAGGGCCGTTCGTGTTAGTCACAGGCAGAATTGTTCCCACAGGCACGACAGGCAGAAGCTACAGAACGTCTTTAGGTTCACGAGAGAGGCTTTTAAATAATATGGTACTTTAAGGCAATTACAAAAGATCATTTAACTGAGGTGACTGTTAGGTCATATAACCGCCCTGCTAACAGCTTAGACAAGCATGCATTTCCATGCTGATCCAGGATGGTTTGCTACTAATTTAACTTGTGGATTAACATGCACCACCATAAATAGATTTTTTTCCCACCCAAAAATGAAAAATATTTATTTATAAAAATAAAAAACTGGTGAACTATATCCTTTTAAATTGATCAGTGTTTTCATGTTTTCAGCTGTTGTCAACAATGACAATAATTCATAATTCATCACCAGCATCACAGGATTAAATTAAAATGTAAAATATCTTAACATTTTTCACAATATTACTATATTTACTGTATTCAATCAAATAAATACAGCTTTAACACTGGCATTCATGCTCTCAAAATATTGTAGGAACAGCAACTGAAAAAAAATGAATACGTAAATAAATAAGAATTATGAATAATGCCTTCAAGAGACACAAATAGTCAATGTCTCTCTCTGTAGAAAGTAAACATGCACTTGATTTCTACCTGATCTGACCCCTAAGCGTTCCTTTCATGTAAAATCCAATGTATTCTTGTTGATTCAATCATATTGCAGTTTAACTTGAGGATTTACTTGAAGGTTTTGTAAACAATCATTCGTTTTTCTTTGGAATAAGTAAATATACCAAAGAAATATTATGCCACTGAAATGACACCGAACATTTGAATTTGACCCGTCTTAAATAAGTACATATACTTTTGCAATTTGTTGCTTTTTACATTTCGCTGACCTGCGTGAAAGTGAGATCTCTATAGTCCTAAACTCAAAAAATAATCTTAACCTCATAAACCCACAACAAACATCTTAAAAGAGCTTCAGCTCAGCTTGCGGTAAATTGCGCAGTATCTATACCTGCTGCATGAGACTAAATATACCCTCCTGCTGCCTGCCTACAGATATCAGCAGGAACAGCCTTCTCTCCACACCAGTGAGGTCTTACTGATTTGTAGTGCTCACAGGACGACCTGCTGCGGCATCTTTCTGGGATGTACATCCTCACGTTCAGAGCCATACTGCTCTTGCAGGTGAAGAGAGCTCATAAACACTGAAGCCCTGAGAACGGCCTGCCACATTCACGCCTGTAATCAAGTCAGTGGTGTGGCGGGATAATTTTAGTGGCGAAATGCATTCTGGAGCATCGTTGAGAAACCTTTGCTTAAGATATACCTCTCTCTACGTGTCAAGCTTAGTGTCAAATGCCGAGACACAGACATATAAGATTATGACTGCTTTACCTAAAAAAAAAAAAAAAGTACAGCATTCATGTTTTTTAAATGTATTTTTATTAATTTTGAATCATAATTTGCAAATAATCCCAAACAATCCTAATAGAATAATAAAAAAGATATTCTTAAGAATTCCTTCTGGAATTATAATACATACTTATATTAGAATAATCATCATTTGTAACCAATCCTAAAGAATCCTGAAAAGTCCCTAAAGAATTCAATATGATTCTACAGAGTAAATTGAAATTCTAAAATAAAATAATCAAAAATCCTAAAATATACAAATAATCATAAATAATTTTTCAGAATTGCTGTGTGTGGGTGTGTGTGATTGCATGAAATTCTTTAGAAATGGTTCGAAATTATTATTGTAATAATTATTATAATATAATTCTAATATATTATAATTGCTATAGGAATCCTGTAGATTAACTAAGGATCTGTTCTGCTCATGATTGCAACTGACAGTTTCTCACAAATCTTTCCCATTTCCTTTCATCTGAACAATGTCTTCATTGAAGACAACAAGTGCAAACTTTTATGCATTCTTTTAATACTTTAATGCTTTTTTCCTGCCTCATTCACTAAAATCACATTTGCTGATGCTGGTCTCTAAAGGTTTACTGTTGAGCTGTCCTTCCACACACACACATACAGAATGTATATATATATATATATATATATATATATATATACACACAAATGCATGCAAACACACACACACACGCACATGTATATAGAGGAACAGAGTATGTGGGAGGTCTGACAGCTTCTTGAGAGGCGCTGACAACAACCAAGAATGTGTGTCGGGGTGGTGAGAAGGGTGACGGATGGCCCACAAACCCCCTCTGCACCTCTCCATCCCCCTTTTAACTTAAGCTCACACTCAAAAACAAACTCACTCTGCAAG